TTGTTGGAAATTCAAAAGGTAAGGGACTGATTATGGTTAAAGAATATATTAGCATCTATAGCACACCCTACCAAAGATAAGTTGCATTGTGTGGTTTGAACATGATTTAAAGGTTTTGATGGGTTCCTAACTAGTGGTCTGTTTATAGTTTATGATTGAGATTTTTTCATATGAATAAATTTGATATTAAGAATTTATTATGGGCTCATGTACCCAAATAAATTTTTATAAAAATGATTTTTCGTAATTCATATATTGAAGTAAAAAATACTTCCAATTAAAATTGGTGAATATTTAGAATAATTCTAAAAATTTTCTAGTCAACTCCTAATATTTAAATATCAGCTTCACTTATAGATCTAGTATTTATACCAAAATATTAACCATTAATTTTCATGAATTAAAACTTTAGTGATTATTGGAATATTAGTCAAATTCTTATAGATTCAATAAATTGATTATTAAATTCAATATGCATGCTAAAAAAATAAAACATACATTGTAATTTTTTTTTTTTATAGAAAAACAAGATATGATTTTTGTTTTTTTAGGAAACTTGGTTGTATGTAACACAAAAGGAAAATTTTTATTATTATTTTATATTTTTTTTGTATTTTTGTAAGACCTTATTTGGTAAAAAAAAATTTCTTAAAATAAAAATTATCCAAAACAAGCCTAAAGAGTGTTTATTAAACACACCTTTAAACCAAATAAATCTTTTAAAAAATAATAGCAAACCAAACAAGGCCTAAGAATTAACCCGGTCTTGACCCAAACAAATTGACTTGAAAACAAACCAAAACAAAGACTCGGGATCGAAATAGATCCAATATAAGAAAAACATAAAAACTTATTTTTTTTTGTCGAAACGGATCAAGCATATGAAAAATAAAGAACATGAAGAACATTCATCAAGAACCCAGCAAACACAACTCTCAAACTAGACTAGATCTTAAACAATAAAAGGCATGTTTTTGTTCGTAATCATGCATAGATTAAGAATCAAGTGTCATTTTGCTTTGATTATTACTCAAATATTATAATTTTATCATAAATAGATTTTGGTTCAAAATCAAAATTCTAAGATTAAAACCCTAAAAAACAAGTTATTAATGCTCAAAAGTCCTATATTATTTACTAATAATGATATATGAACTTATAGAAACCAGAATTGAATCAAAACGAGACTTGAAATTAGCACCTATGACAATGTTTATCAGATGAATGCGAAGAACACATACCCAACTGCCTAGAAAAAAGTCCAGAATGCTGCTAAACAAATAAAACACATTTTAAGCCTCTAAACTAGACTCTTTTGGCCTCAGCTACCCACATTATCATAACCAAACATACTTGAATAAAAAAGAACTAATAAAAACAACAAATCATCATAACCATGCAAAAAAATTCCAATTTCAAAACTTTCAACCTAGAACAACCTATATTTTTATGCAATCTAGATTCAAATGTCTTTCAAAAGTATGGAACAACACATGGACTCATGTTTTTTTAATATATGTTTTTGACGTTATCTCCTTCACTCGTCTTTGAAACTCCTTTGTTTCATCAAGATTACTTCTATAAATTGGTCTATTAGGAATAATTAAACCCAGTACTAGGTCAATCTGTTATTTTATTTCTCTTATAGGTGGCAATCTCCTTGAGATTTTATAAGAAAATACACCATCAAATTCCTATAAAAAATAAAAATAAATACTAGAAACATAAGAATCAAGTTCATTAGTGTTAAAGTATGCATTCTTATATAAGAGTAAAATCATAGTTATATTAAAAAAAAAATAAGTATGTGTAAAATCACTTTGTTTTGCATAACAATTAAAGTATTTCGCTACTTTTTCTATACACTCTTCTTTTTTTACCCATTCTTTTGTCTCTTCACACTTGGCCTTCTTTCTTTTTTTACCCTCTTTTTTTTTTTTGTTGAATCCTTTGAATTTATCATTAATGGCCAAAGCTCAACTTTCCCAGCCTAACATTTATTATGTTGTTAATAAAATTTATCAATTTATTCATTCATTTTATATGAGTCATTGGAATACAGTTAATAAAAATATGAGTCTTTATGATACTGGAAAATGCTTTCCATCTGCCTGCTTTTACCAACTCTTATTGGTTATGCTGATTTTTTTAGTCCTAATCTTGCTTGTTGGAAAGCTGAAAACAATTGTATAATCATCTACAAAGTCAGACTATCATTATATTATGATAATTTAGAAACCACTTATAACTTTCTAAACTTTTTTTTCATGCCTACAGAAAACATGTTTAGGATGACTATTATTTTATGCAAGATATAGTTGCAAAAGTTGTGTTAAATTCATAACTTCATAAGATTAACTTGCCAATATACTGACTAATCTTTTAGCAACAAGTCAGTTTTGTTATTAGAGGTTCATACTTCATTTTTAAAGGTTTATGTTTCAGGTCAACTCATTTTACCAAGCATAGTGTTGTACATGTATTATAACTTATATATTAGAACTCATAGCTCTGTTCTTATTACTTTTAATTTTTTTTATTAAACTGGATATCTGAGCTAATTTATACACATCTCAACTAATTTTATAAACCTCTAGTGATCTTAAATTTATAAAACTCGAACTAATAAATTCTAAAAAATAAAAACCTAACCAATTAAACTAATCTTATAGGCCTATAGTGATCTTAAATCTATAAAACTCAAACTACTAAATTGTAAAAAGTAAAAACCTAACCAATTAAACTACACCTCCACCCTCAAGGTTGTTCTCATTAATTTTCTTGCATTAGACTCTTGTTACCTTATTATATGTACACTGACCGAAGCCTTCAGCTAAGCTTACAGTATTTCGACCTTCACATGTTGTCTTATTGGATGTTATTTTTAAAAGTTGCACTGGTTCCTTTAAGCTAGTAATCTGCTATTATTTGGACCTGAAATGCTGATTTAATCTACTCATACGAAAAGGCCCGACAGCAGCTTCAAGTCATGGCCGAGGTTTATGGGGATTGAAAAGGACATCCAACTATTATTTGTGATTGAAAGTTGTGTGACCCATGGTCAAATCCTTCCAAGACCGAACGGTAGCATTTCTAGCCAGTATTTGCATGCCATGTAACAAGGCCTCTCAAGAAGTCGCAAGGCAATGAAATGTTGCGCACGATTGATTACCTGATCTACAACTCATCAGTATCGTAATCATTTCTCTCGCAACCATTATTAACATGTCCTTGAAATTCCAACAAAAATACAGCACGAATCATACATTTAAATAATCCTGGTTGTGGACACGACGCCAAGCAGGCTGGCTTATTGCATCGAAGACAAATATTGGTGACATTGCTAAGTGGTAAGGCGGGGGACTGCAAACCCTTTTTCCCCACTTCAAATCCGGGTGTCAACCTGTGCTCTCTAGCACAAAACTCGAACTCCTACCTCCGAAACATCCCGGAACCTTGAAGTGCTTGGCCATACTCTGCAATGATTGCAGAGCCTTTAACTAATTCCCAGATCTTGGCAGAATTTTTCAACCAGTCACGTTCTGAGACTGCCCTAGCGAAGGACAGGCCGTTCATTGATAAAACCTGAAGAAACAGCAAACCTTTTCAAATTTGCAGACATTGTAGTTTGTCAAGGGAAAAGAATATCAATATCTTTGTTGATAGGTTTTATCTTATCAGATGAGGAAAAAATATGTGACTGCATTTGACCATAAGAGAGAAGGAGAGGAACCTGATCTCGCAACTTCCATAGTGCAGAGATGTAACTTTTGTACTGAGCTTTAAGAGAGTCATCTTTTTCCTTTAATGGAATGACAAATAAATTGATAGAGTTTGAATCTGGATCATTATCATGACTGTTTGAAGGCACAGAATAAGAGATCTGCTCTTTTTCCATGCTTCCACCCTTTTCTTTGATGAATGATGAGGAGCTGAAATATTGTGCTAGTTCCTTCCTCAGTTCCACAAAATTACATGGAGTAAAATCTTCATCTTGCAGCCTGCAAAAAAGAGGATTAGATAGGTGCTTCTGCTCCCAGAAAGAGAGAACTCCATATCAGATGATAACAAGATAACTTTGAATAAGACTTCAAGCAATTAGGAAATGATATCAAAGTTGAGCAACATCGATGACAGACAATGCACTAGATGCAAAACTGTTGAATTGAGATCTGTATCTCCCCATTTATAGTAGATGTACATGCAAAATTTTTGAAAACCATTGTCATGCTATTGTAGATGTATCATCATTCCAAGGATTTTATTTCATGAAATCCATAGACACTGCTCATTGACGATAACAGCTTTATTTCTATTTATTTCTCTGGCTGCATGTGAGCCCTGCAGACTACATCTGGCCAATCATGTAAACATGCTCACATGTGCATAACTCTTAAAATTTCCTGGTTGTTACTGCATGTGAGCACGTCTTGACCACCATGAATATAGAACAAGTGACTTCCATATATTCTAATGCAAGAGCGAAAAAAAATGACAAGCCTAGAACAAACCTAGCCTTCCTGCATTAATAGATCATTAACCTTCCTGCATTAATAGATCATAAATCAAGTGTTACGTGATCACAGTATTTTGTTAGCTAACTTGGGCTTCCTAAAAGCAAGAAATATATCTTTGAAAATCAGAGTGGGGTAACGAGACAGAAAATTGAACACCCTGATTATCAACACAATAATTAAATATGAGAAATGCCCTACATGGAGAGAGGGAAAAGGTGATCATGTCAACAAGAAGTTATATAACTTATTTCAAAGACTCACTACCGAATTACTTTTTCTCCATAAGCTAAGTTGCAATTTGTTAGAATTGAATAAAATGATAACTCACTTTGTATGTACAAAGAGTGGAGTAGCCATATACTCTTCAGCCTCCGAGACTTTATCCTTGTTTTCTTTTTCAGGCCCCACATTAGAGCTCTGCAAATATGCCGAGTTTAGTGAAGATGGATCAGGTATGCCATGTTTCAGCAAGTCAACCTGCAAATACATAGCACCCAGTAAGATTTATATAGATTGTACAAGATAGATAAACCAAGTGAGAAATTCCAGTAGAAAGCAAAAGGACAAACAAAATGCAAGTGTCATAGAACAGGTATTTGAGAAAAGACAACACATCAGAATATCCAGTTTCTAGTGATCTTGAAATATTGGCCAAGAAACAATCAATGATTGGTATCATAACTTTTTGTAAAAATTGTTCTTTCATACCATGAACAAAGACAGAGTATAGTTTCATGCAACTTCAGTACAGATATTTTAGTAGTGATAAAACATAGCTACCTACTTTGTGAGGAAAAAGAACTACACAAGAAAAAAATAATAATAAAATAAACATTCATATACAAACAAAGCATTAAAAGGCAGCTAAAGTAAACAAAAATACATATCAAATTGCAAAAAGTTACAAGAGTATGGCCTGAATAAAGAATTACTTTCTGAGTGATATAAAATGACATATTACCATGTCATCATAAGGCATAGATACATATCAAATTGCAAAAAGTTACAAGAGTATGGCCTGAATAAAGAATTACATTCTGAGTGATATAGAATGACATATTACCATGTTATCATAAGGCACAGACCATCAGGCATCTCAAGAACAATCAAACACCTTGTTTTTGCTATCTCTCCTTTGTGCTCATCGCATATTCACGTATACATTAGATTTGGACACTCAGTAGAAATTTATTTTCATTTTCCCAGGTCATTTATGGTAGTTACTTTTTCAATATGTGAGCACGTTAGTTCTCACTAATGCTACAAGCATACTTGAAGGCATTGTCCTCTTATCCTCCTTATTGAAGTTGCATCCCAGAAAAACTTTAAATTCTAAGCTTGGATATTTGAACCTTTAACCAAATTCCTCATTTGGATTAAACTCCAATAAATCATCTTTTTTTAAAAAAAAAAAAAAATTAGCTGTTTGAAGTCCTGGGCAACAAGGTTTTTCAAGTACCTTCATATGAAGTTTAAAGATATACATCTGACCTGACATATAGTTTTGAAATAATCAATGCATGCGTGACCATATACAACCATGAGGATATAGTACCAAAAACCATCTAACAACTGTATTAGCAAATTCTTAAAGGAAGCAATTTGTGTCTTACCAGATAAAGTTAGTAGCCTCAAACCCAACTTATAAAGATTAAATCAGATTTTGAGATGCATTGTTAGATAAGTGATGTTGAGCAACAACGATGATTGATGTGTGATGATGAAATTATTGAGAAAATAGTAGTAGATACATAAGTTATTCCGGAAAGGAATGGGCAAGCCATGATTTGTTCACATTCTGCTAGTTGCTAGTTGCGCTTTGTTGACATCGAAAGTGTACTATGATTGCTTTGTCATACATAATAATCTCTTCCACAAAGCCACAAGGTTCAAAAATCCCATAAAATACTTCATCACTGATCCGATACAAGAACCGGTGAATTCGAACAAATAATACCCAACTTATACAAGCAGACTTGCCAATATAATCATAATCTTCATACATGAAGTCTTCTGTTTTCTTTTTTCTTTTTTTTTTCCTTGACAACAAAGAAATGAGGGCTGGTAATCTAGATTTTTTTAGTGATTTTTGGTTTAAGGGTTCGGATTGGGGTCGAGCTCTAATACCAAAATTGATATGGGATAGGGTAGTAGCAAATGTAGAGAAGTAGAATTCCCTATTGCAGAGGGAAAACTAGAGCAAGAAGAAAAAACAACTTATAAATGAGGGCAAATCCCTATAGAAGAGGATTGAAGGATTTGAAAGAATCTCTGACTTTTAAAAAGCATATGATTTTTATATAGTGTTTGACACCGACAAACTGTAGCATCCTCAACTAAATAGAAAATATGAACAACAACCCAAAGAACAATAAAACTGTAAATGTACTAAATTACTAACAAACAAGGAAGCTTTTTTGTCCAAATTATGAGCACAGATTAACAAAGAAAAAAGCAAATTCCTAGTGACTATCAAATGAACAGAACTAGATTGTTTAAAGAAAGCTGTCTATTCCCAAATTTATGGAGCATACAACATTAGTATGTGCAAAGGCCATGAAATAAGAAATACCGTCAACATTAAGTGCCGCATACTATCATCATAAACTCCATCTGATACCACCAGCAGGACATGACAAATGGAAGCTAGGAGAACACCAAGCTATAATGAATCCTTGCAGCACAACCAGAAACATAGAATTTCATCAGGCATTTTATCTTTCAATAACTGTAAGGATGTACTTGCAAGAAAATATGACGGACTATGCACAATTACTCAACACAGTTACTATATTTTACTCCAACCATGAAATTAGAAGTACAGTTCCTCTCCAGTTACCTGAATAGCTGCAAGTTCATGAGCCAACTCAGTGGAAAGGTTTTCACCGCTTAAAACTGAAATTGTGGATGAGCCATCAGGTCTCATCATCTCTGCCAAAACAGAAGGGCTAAAAACAGGCTGCAAATTAAGAAAAAAAAAAACAGTTAAAAAAGCAAAAGAAAAGGGAAAGATAAAATTTTCAGTATAGTATATGAGAATAGACAGAAAAAGAAGATGGCGTAGCACTTGCTTTATGGTATCAGAACAATGAATATCAATCAGGGCTGTAGGATTTGATGTTCATAAACCAAACTACTGTTTTATATGTGTAGACAAGTGACCTTGTTAAGTAGTAAGTAAATTTAATGCAAGAATTACACAAGCATAGTCTTTTACATGGATGAAAATGGGGTGGAAAACCCACAACACTTGGCCCATCCCACCTAAATGGAGGGTGTAAAATGAGCAGGGTAGGTGGGTTTTGGAGTAAATTGAATAGGTTGTGTTTGGTTAGTGTCCTAGGATAAAAGAAGAGACAGATACAACAGGGGAAGAAACATGTTTGGTTGCACGGAAGGAGACAGAGATATAAAAATAAATGTCTCGAGAATAGTTTTGGAGTGAATTTTGTCCTTTCAAAATAGAAAGGACAACAGGACATGTCCCCTCCGTCCCAAATATCTTCGTCTCTTTTGTCTTAAGACGTAAACAAACACTACCTAAGAGAACCCAAATCAGGCACGGGACAGGGTTAAGTATCTCCAGACCTGATTACACATTCTATTACTCTCCCATATGTGTTTGTTCTCTTCCCATCCTTATCTCCTAGAGTCATCATCCCATCTCTATCTCCATGCTCTTTTATCAATATGAGCCGATCAATCAATTCCCTTCAAGTTGGACTCAGCGAATTTCTACTTGAATCAACAAAATATTAACTGAAACTGACAGTTTTTTGTGAAAAGTCTGGGATGAGAATCTTAAAGATTCAGATGAGTTTAGGAAAAATCCAATGAATTCAAGAGACTAGATAAAGTCATTTTTAGATTGAGCCCCTGAACCCAAAAATCTAAAAGAGCTTCAAATCACCCAAAGCGTGCATTATTTATATTCATTTATGTTTCGCGAACTCATTTAAGTTTAATAGGATAAAATCATTTTCAGATTGAGTTTATGAAACTGTGACTTCAATTATATATATAAAAAATGCCTGACCTGGGTATCAAGAAGAATAAGCCTCTCAGCAGATATCCTGGGTTCAATTCCCACAGTACAATGCCTTGCCATTGCTCGGTTATCTTCAGACTGCACAGTAAACGGCGGAAGCATCCCTGTATATATATATAGCATACAGAAGGTATTGTCATCGTGTTTGTTCATTCCTTTGTTAAAATAACTTGTAAAGAATCAAATATAAGTGGATAACCTGGCGAGGTTCCATCAAAGCCATAAAGCTCATTCAAGATTGTGGACTTGCCAACCCCAGGCGGGCCAATTATTCCAACCACCGTAAAATCTGTATTCTCAGTCAGGAACTGATCCGATCCAAAATGTATGAATAGATTAGAAATAAATATATAAAAACAAATAATTTACGAAACTGAGGAAATTATTATGCTATGTTAGTAGTGGTATTTGTTACATACAGGGAGAAAGCGATCAATGTGGAAGTCCCAAGAATCGGAGAGGAGATTGAGAGAGGTAATTGAAGGGAGACGAGACCGATGGTGATGGTGATGGTGCGGCGCTGTTTCGTCTTCGCGTCCAAATTTAGCAGCAGCGGCAGACACCGCCGGTCCAGAAGTCACCAATCCGGGAGGCTTCGCTAGTAGGATTTTGGGAGCCTGTGACTGTGATGAAGAACTCCCTGCCATTTCATTCATTAACAAACAATATGCAGACACTACTAGCTTTCTAGTTTCGAGTTTTGTTTCTTTCAGTTTCACTTAAACGGTCAAACCCTAAGCTTTCGGCATCATGATATGTACCCGTTGTTGCCTGTTGGTTTTTGTTTTTTTTTAAATATTAAAAAAAAATAGTTTTTTTATTTCTTTTAAATTAATTTTTTATATTTTCAAATAATATATTAATGTTTAAAATAAATTTTAAAAAAATATAAAATATATAATTTTAATATATTTTTAAATAAAAAATATTTTAAAAAACAACTCTTAACATAATATCAAACATATTTTTAATAAGTTGATGTTATTTAAAGGATATTTTTTCAATTAAAATTATATTTAAATAATGATTTTTAATTGTTTTATTTTTATATTAACATATTAAAACTATTTAAAAGCAGTTAAAAAACTATCAATTTAATGTTCTTAGGTTAAAAAAATTAAAAATTAAATTGTAATGTGAAAAAAAAACATTCAAGTGTTTTTCAAATTATTTTTTATTTTAAAAAATAATTTTAAGTATTTTTTTAATGATTTTGATTTGTTGATATAAAAAACAAAAATAATCTAAAAATATATTATTTTAATATATTTTTATTTAAAAATATTATACACTGTATTATCAAGCACATAAAATAACTAAATAAAATTTAATCAAAATAATTTTAAGTATTTTTTTAATGATTTTGATTTGTTGATATAAAAAACAAAAATAATCTAAAAATATATTATTTTAATATATTTTTATTTAAAAATATTATACACTGTATTATCAAGCACATAAAATAACTAAATAAAATTTAATCAAAATAATTTTAAGTATTTTTTTAATGATTTTGATTTATTGATATCAAAAACAAAAATAATCTAAAAAAATATTATTTTAATATATTTTTATTTAAAAATATTATACACTGTATTATCAAGCACATAAAATAACTAAATAAAATTTAATCAAAATAATTTGATTACTTGAAAATCTTTGAATTCAAATAATTTTAATTTTAATAAATTTCAATATATTATATTTATTTTTGAAGAATTAGTAATTTTGATCTTGTGTTTAAGAATACAAGATCAAAATATTAGCAAACACTCATTTAACATGATCACTAAATAAAATTTAATCAATATGATTTTTGGTTGCTAGAAAACCTTGGAGTTCAAGTACTCTTCATTGAATTTTAGCAAATCTCGATATCGTAATTAATATATTAGATTTATCTGTGAAGAACTTGAGATTTCAATCTTGCTATTACTTAAAAATTGAAGCTGCTATAAAATTAACACACATTTTAAAGAAATAGGAACCCATTGTAAGAAAAAATAAAAATCATTAATAGAAAAGCGTAGGATAAATAAAATTAAACATGATAGAAAAACAGAATAGATCAGGATCTAGTTTTCATTAAAAGGCCATGAATGAATGCAGTGGTTAAGCAATAGTATCTTCAGGTGAGATGGAATTGGGTGATCGCTTGCACAATAAGTGAATAAGAACACATGAAGCTACTTTACTTGGAAAAGAGCTGCATATTGCAGTTCTAGCAGGAGCCGAGAGCCGAAATGATGCTGTTACAGCACGAGCTGCAAAAACATATCCAGCGTGTGCATGCGTGGGATGGCCGTCCATGGCTACTCTGTAAATGAAGATTGAATCATTAAGTAAGGTGATCATGGAAAAGCAAGCAAGCACGAAGGCTATCCAGGTTGCTTTCATGAATCGACGGTGGGCTAAGAAGTAAAAAAAAAGCCTCGTTCTTCACTCCAATACCACCTCCCGGACTCTATCAATAAGAATTAGCACGGTCTTCAAAACCTTTCCGGTTTTATAATCCAGCACTCGCCATTGTTAACTCATTCACAAGCACCTGCCAAACACATTTAGTGGAGCTTTTAAAAATGGCATTGCTGTCATTGGAAAAGCCTATATAATAGAATCTCAGAGATTTGAACCCTCGTTTTTGAAAACAAAATCATGTTTTTCCTTCTGTTTTTTCTCATAACCACCAGAATATAAACTGATACATATAGAACACAACTTTTCTATGCTTAAAGCAAACTCTTAAATCCAAGAAACAATACATGCCCACAAAGGGTACTTCCCATGCATGAAACTGTTAACTCTCTGATTAAGTTAATGAACAGTTGGGTTTGGAACACAAGCATTGATAGGCATGCTGATTGTGAGTCGAGGTATGCAACTAAGTGGGTTTGAGAACAGTTGCTGGCAAGCTTGATAGAGTGAGTCGAGGCATGCAATTGCAACAGTGTAAACGATGACAGGCATCAATATATAAGTTTTGAAGAAGAAAAGGAGGAGGAGGAAGAAGTATTGCGGAAGAGAAGCTACCGAGAACATAAACAACAGCATCACAGAAGGCTGAGAGCAGCAATATTCCCTCCAAGCATAGCTAAAACAAATAAGAGGTAAATGTGATCAAGGACGATGACTGTTGGTTCTCATTTAACAGACCGACTTGGAAATGGTATGTTCATAGAATGAAAGTCAAATGTGAAATAAACACGAGGACCGACTTGGAAATGGTATGTTCATAGAACGAAAGTCAAATGTGAAATAAACATGAGAGTTCAATTTGTTTTAATTGTTTACGTGTCCCTTAATTTGTTATACAAATGAGAGCTAACGGCATCTTTCAGAAAAGCCAAATTGATTATATGGCTTTTTAAATATATATATATATATATATATAGTTGCTTATTTGCTTATATCCACTCTAGTAAAAATCTAAAGATATTTTGAAAAGATAATTATATTTTAATATATTTAATATATAATTATTTTATTAATTTGGTATGATTTGATAGGTTTAAAAACAACTCGATGATTCTTATTCAAAAGATAAAATTAAAAAAAAATCAATTTTTCTTATCTTGGAGTTTTCATCGTGGTTCTATATAGCTAAATTCTTAATTGGTCGAAGAAAATAAAAGTCTCAGAATTAATAAAATTATAAAATCAAATTTGTTTTCATTGTTCAATATCAAATGTTTTTTAATATTTATTTTCATGATTATCTTATTTAATTCTCTAATGATTTGTAATTCGTTATAATCTACTACGAGATAAGATATCAAAACCGTAATTATTTGATCCTTTTATTGTGAAACAACTAAGATTTAATGATTTATTTCATAGAAACAATTGGATCTTAGAAAGAACACTTAATTATATTAAATACAACTAATTATGTTTGTGTTGTTTAAGTTCATCAATCTCTTTAAATCTTAAGACGTTATTATATTAAACTTTTACCATTTGTCTTGAGTTGTTTAGCGGTTAGAATCAATTAAATTGTTTGTTTTATAATTAGTTATAATTAAAAAAAGATAGAAAAATAGTCACGATGAATATTCAGAGTGTGAATTCAGAGTGTGAATTAATATATACTTGCATCGATTATCAATTATATATAAAAAAATTAATTGATTTTGATATTTTAACTTGGGTTGTTTTAAGTATTTAATTAAACATCAATCTTTTAGTCTTGTCATTACACAAATGAGAGCTAACGGCATCTTTTGGAAAAGCCAAACTGATTATATGGCTTTTTAAATAATATATATATATATATATATATATATATATATTTACTAATTTGGTATGATTTGATAGGTTTAAAAATAACTCGGATGATTTTTATTTAACACAATATTAAAGAATGAAATTAAAAAAAAAATTCTTCTTTTCGTAGAGTTTGCATCGTGGTTTTATATAGTTAAATTCTTAATTGGTCGAAGAAAATAAAAGTTTCAAAATCAATAAAATTATAAAATCAAATTTGTTTTTATTTTTCAATTTATGCTTTAAGTATCAAATGTTTTTTAATATTTATTTTCATGATTATCTTATTTAATCCTTTACTGATTTGTAATTCATTATAATCTACTACTAAATGAGATATCAAAACTATAATTATTTGATCCTTTTATTGTGAAGCAGCTAAGATTTAATAATTTATTTCATTAGAAACAATTGGATATTAGAAAGAACACTTGATTATATTAAATACAACTAATTGTACTTGTGTTGTTTAGGTTCATCAATCTCTTTAAATCTTAAGACACTATTATATTAAACTTTATATTAAACTTTTACCATTTGTCTTGAGTTGTTTAGCGGTCAAAATCAATTAAATTGCTTGTTTTATAATTAGTTATGACTAAAGAAAGATAAGAAAATAGTCATGAAAAATATTCAGAGTGTGAATTAATATATACTTGCATCAATAATCAATTATAAAATTTTTTTTAATTAATTTTGATACTTTAACTTGGGTTGTTTCTTAACTATTTATCTTAAAATTATTTTTGTTATATCCAAATTCCCCCCAATCTTTGTTTATGTTGCATAAAACTAGAATAGATATTCTTTATAGAAACGATCACAACTATATATATTTTTAAGAGTTTAGGTTTTATAATTGATTGTCTGCAATAACATATTATTAATCTTCTTATAAATTCTAAACTACTCTATAGATTTGTCTAACAAAATCTTTTAAACTTGAAAAAAATCTTAAATTTACAGTTTTTATTATATATATTTTATAAATATTAAATCACAAGCTCTTCTCCTTTTAGAGTTCATATCTCCTATACCTATATAAAGATGAGATAAGGGTGGATTTGTAACCTAACAGATAGGGTACAATAATCAACTCAAGTCTAATATGAAGTTAACCATACACAATGGAGTTAAGGAAGCATTGAATATGATTATTTATCTACTTTACCCATCAACATTTATGCTACATTAGGTGGCTTCAAAACCTTGTTTTAAGATGGTTGGGCAAGGTAATGAAGACAGAGAACATCTTACAGGGTTGGAGCAGAGAGTGGAAGGAATGAATAGGAGTATTGGGATGTTAACTGAACTTGTTAGAGGAATACAAGTCAATGATCCAACCTTTCAAGTTTGAAGGGCAGTCTATTTAAGACTCAATAAAATTTTATATCAAAATTAAATTAAAAAAATAATGACTCAACAAAATTTTATATTAAAATTAAATTAAAAAAATATATTAATATATTAAAAATTTATAATTTTTAAAGTAGAAAAATATTAATGTATCAAAAATTTATAATTTTTAAAGTAGAAAAATTAAATTAAATTTTTTATATGAACTTTAAACAACGTTTATAATATTTCTTTTACTTTTATTCTTTATCTTTTAATTTTATTTTTAATCAACAACTTTGATCCTAAAAGAATACAATCAAAGAAAAAATTTTAAAATCAAATTAAAAAAAATCTTTAATAATAAATCCATAATTGGACAAATATCATGTTTTTGCTAAAGCGTTGAAGTTTTTTACTTTATAGGAACACACCCCAAGTTGAATGGCTGATAAAAATGGAACAAATGCAGCCCAAAGCCCAAGATTATTTATCGGGCCGAAAAATTTAGGGTCCGGAATGAATGCAAGAAGTAATAACTAGGACCGAAAGCGTTCGAACCGGTTTCTCGATTGTTGAGAAAGATTTGGATGTTATGTTTCTAGGTTTCTCTCCCAGTCCCAGTCCAGAGTCTCTGATTGTCGGGAAAGATTTCTTTTTTCGACAGACTAGTTTTTTTCTTGTTTCCTTTTTTTGCTCAAGGAAATGGATGCCCATAGCAGATATGTTATTGGGATTTCATCTCTCCTTGGCTTACTGCAGTAGAAACCTATGGTAGGTAAGTCTTGTCCTCATTAATTTAATATATGTATTTTTTTGTTGTTAATTTCTGTTCCCTTGATCTGATTTGGCATCATTTATCTAATGTGTTATGAACTGATATTGAATTTAGATTAAGTAGGTTCTTAAAACGGGATTGCAATGTGCCACCCTTAGCATGAAGTGGGAAAGTTTGAAGAAGGTAAATAAATCATTAGTTAGAGTTTGACGAAGGTTAAGAAATGATTAGTTATGTTTTATTTATATGAACCTCGAAATTCTTTTTTATTAGATATGAATGGGGATTTTTGTGCACACACAGTTAAACATATTGGAAGATGTGAGCTTGTTCTGAAATTGATGATTTTGTATGAACGTTTTCGAATAAAACTTGTATTTTCCTTTTTTTCCAGAATTGAATTTTAGGCTGGGGAGTGGCCTGAATATTCATCTCCAATCTCCATCCATTGCTCTGCATAGTTTCGTTTGTTCCTTCCAAGAAAACTATTCGACTTTGAGATTAATCGAAGTATCCCAAGTTTATTTATTTATACCCTCTGTGATCATGCGGGAACAATTCAATGTTGCAAGTTACCTATTCTTGGTGCAATGAGCTGATAAAGTTGGTTGACTCTGTTTTAAGCTCCTTTGAGCAAAGTTTATTTGAACCAAACAAAGAAACTTGGGAGACAAATTGAGATACAAAGAAGTGAATCTGGAATTTCATAATCTTCATTAGATTGTTGGTTTTTAATGCTGACAGTCTTCTCTTTACCGATACTAATTCTTTCCCTTTGATAAATGGGCCATATGTCTGGTTGGAAATGTTTTCCTTTAAGTAAACCCTTGTCATGACAGGATGATTGTAAGTGTTTTTTTGATTCACTAGTGAGGATGGCTGATTCTTATTCCAATTTGGCATTGACTCTCTTTTAATTAAATATCTATTCTCCAAAGGAAAAAACCTTTTTTTCTCAAAGCCTGAGAAAATTATGGTGCTTGTGTACTCATTTATGGTTTGAAATTATTGTTTAGTTTCATTTTCTATCATTTTCCCCTCAACTCTAAATATTATCATCATCTGTTATGTGCTGCTATTCAGAACTATATTTCTCTTATTTTCCCACCCTCCCAACCCCCCAATACCCCATGTGGCATAACAAATGAATTTACTTCCCCTTATTTTATATATATATATATAGTTCTGATGCTCAGTATCAACCAGTTCCTTTCCATTCAATTTACATTAATTCTCAGAATTTTGTTTTTTGTCTGGATGTAAGTTGTGCATTCTTCTGTTATGATTTATTTGCGAGTTCTTTTTTTTCTATTTTGTTACCTTATTCTTCTCTTTCCATTATGGCATCCATATTTTGTTGGAGATTTTAGTGCTAGCTGTACTTGAAAAATACAAGTTTGAAATTGGTTATTTTGGATGCAGCATGAGGGGAAGCCTGTCAAGCAAGCAAAGTTGCTTCTCCTCGATTTAATTGATTCATGGCAGACCATGCTTTAATTGTGCCTGATAGTTCCCTTGCATTGTCAGAACACGCTTTGGCCATCGGACAAGAGTTTCCCAATGTTGAAACTTGCAGAAGAACATTGAAGGATATTGCTATAGCACTGCATTTTGATCTTCGGATAGTAAAATCAGATCGAAGCCGGTTTATAGCCAAATGCTCTAGAGTAGGCTGTCCGTGGCGTGTCCATGTTGCAAAACGTCCTGGAGTTCCAACCTTTTCAATTAGAACCTTACATGGAGAGCATACTTGTGAAGGAGTCCACAACCTTCACCATCAACAGGCATCAGTAGGTTGGGTAGCTAGGTCTGTAGAAGAACGCATTCGAGACAATCCACAATTCAAACCAAAGGAAATACTGCAAGATATCCGTGACCGGCATGGGGTTGCTGTGTCTTACATGCAAGCTTGGCGGGGGAAGGAGCGCAGCATGGCTGCACTTCATGGAACTTTTGAAGAAGGGTTCCGCCTTCTTCCTGCATATTGTGAGCAGATTAGAAAAAACAACCCAGGAAGCATTGCGTCTGTTTTTGCTACTGGACAAGACAATTGTTTCCAAAGACTTTTTATATCCTACCGTGCATCTATTTATGGCTTTATAAATGCATGCAGGCCTCTTCTGGAACTTGATAGAGCACATCTTAAAGGAAAATATTTGGGTACATTACTTTGTGCTGCAGCTGTTGATGCTAATGATGCGTTATTTCCTTTGGCCATTGCCATTGTTGATGTGGAAAATGACGAGAATTGGATGTGGTTTATGTCAGAGTTGCGGAAGCTTCTTGGAGTAAATACAGAAAACATGCCTAGACTTACCATACTGTCTGAAAGGCATAAGGGCATTGTAGAGGCAGTTGAAACACACTTCCCGAGTGCTTTCCATGGATTTTGTCTGCGTTATGTTAGTGAAAACTTCCGTGACACATTTAAGAATACAAAGTTAGTAAATATTTTTTGGAATGCTGTTTATGCCCTCACAGCAGCTGAATTTGAAAGCAAGATAACTGAGATGGTGGAGATCTCACAAGATGTTATACCTTGGTTTCAAGACTTCTCTCCCCAACTTTGGGCTCTTGCATATTTTGAGGGCAAGAGATTTGGCCATTTTACACTGGGAGTTACTGAATTGTTGTATAATTGGGCTCTTGAATGCCATGAGCTCCCAATTGTACAAATGATGGAGCATATTCGGCTTCAGTTGACATCTTGGTTTAACAATCGTCGTGAAATTGGAATGAGCTGGACCTCAATTCTTGTTCCATCTGCTGAGCAGCGGGTTTTAGAGGCTATTGCAGATGCACCTTGCTATCAAGTACTTCGTGCAAACGAGGTTGAGTTTGAGATTGTGTCGACTGAGCGAACAAATATTGTGGATATTAGCAGTCATGTGTGCTCATGCCGTCGTTGGCAGCTTAATGGTTTACCTTGTGCACATGCTGCTGCGGCGCTTATTTCCTGTGGGCAAAATGCTCATGTATTTGCTGAGCGTTGCTTCACTGTTGCAAGTTACCGGGAGACATACTCAGAGATGATCAACCCTATTCCTGATAAGAGCCTGTGGAGGGAACTGGGTGAGGGAACAGAAGGTGGAGGTGCCAAGGTTGACATTACAATACGCCCACCCAAAACTCGCCGACCACCTGGCAGGCCAAAAAAGAAGGTTCTTCGTGTAGAAAACTTTAAACGCCCAAAGAGGGTGGTTCAATGTGGTCGCTGTCATTTGTTAGGACATTCTCAAAAGAAATGCCCAAAGCCGAATTAACTAGAAGGTAGCTTCTTACCGTTCCTTTCAGTTAATCTTAATTGCAACTTAACTAGATGTGTTTGTAATCATGATGTATGTTTTACAATTTAATAGAACAATGGCCAAATCCTTTTTGTAGCCCGCCTTTGTCTTGTAAATATGGAGTTACCATTGTGTCTTGGCCAGCTTTGTTTTCTGAGAATAATTTAGTTAATAACTAGGGGGGTTTGGTTTATTTTTACTTTAAAAAAATAATCAAACTAATTTTATTTTTAATTCAAAACTGAATTAATTTTAATTTGGATCAGTTTAGTTTATGTAGTTAAAAAATTAAAAAAATCTATTTAATTTTTATTGGATTTTTTTGTGTTTTTTTATGGACTTTTAAGAGCCTTTTTAATTGATGTAAAAATTTTATTTCGATTTATCAATTTTTTTATCTTATTTTATTGAGCTTTTTTTTTTTCAAAGAGATACTCACAATAATATGAATATAATATCATTCATGTCTATCCAGGCAGTCAGATGAAAGCATGATATGCTATTGCCACAAACGAAGCAAAACAATAGTAGTAGTTAGCAACGAAAATAAACAAATAAAATATACAAATAGTAAAATCATTACAATAACTCAAAAATTCAAAGTAGCATATTTACTATACATTTTCTAAAAAAAAAAAAAGCCCTTGATTTTTTAATTAATTATCATTTGTTATCATATATGCATTTTTTTTTATCAAATTCTACAAAATATACATGTTAGATTGAAAATATGCTAATTAATAAATTATAAAATAAAAGATGCAAGTCTATAAAATAAATTATTTTACCGAAGGTTTTTTTAGATTTCAATATCATTCATCATAATTTTAATATCAATTGAAATTGATCAATAATACAATTAATTTTGACAACAAACAAGAACTTGAATTATTACTAGAGATTAAAAAAATTAAAAAATTGATCGAGTATACAAGCATAAGTACTAAAGATTGATTTGAAAGTTAATATCAATACAGGAATAGCTAACACATGTTGTTAGATATTTGAAAAGATCTTATATTCCAAAGCATTACGTTTCTATCAATTCAAAATATTTATCTTATCATCACAAAAATCCCTACAACTATTAATCAAATATCTCTCAATCTTATTTCTATTCTTTATGTTATCTTCCTCCTCTAAATGTTTTTTCAATCGAGCCAAAATGCTTGCTTTATCATCTACCCCCATGTCATCAATAGTATTAGCATCCTATTGATGTTTTGTATCATCCTCCACTTCATCAGCTTTCAAATAAAAATTATACAAGTTCATTAAAGTATCTCTCACCTTATTTGTTAGTGACACGACCAAAAGATTGATATCTTCTCCCAAGTGCAGGAGTATCGAAGTAATAAATAACCTAACAAGACTGGGATTGAAGCACAAGGAGGTTAATTATATAAATTATAGATGACAATAATACAACAACAATAACAACA